TTTATGTTTATTGTCACTTTTAGTCAGGTACTTTGAGTTACTTGTTTCAGTCAGATCAAGCAAAAGAGCCTTGCTAATTGATCAAATTTTTATTTAAATCGACCGAAACCGTAGGTTATCTTTGTAACATTTGCGGATGAAGAAAGTGTCCTGCTGACCTAATGTACTCTTGTTTCTTTTGCTGTCACTTAAAGGTTGTGACTTGTGAGTGGCTAGCGCATTTAACTGCAATTGATGAGATCCAGGGTCAACCTGGCCGCTCGCGTCTGATTATTAACGGGGTCGCGAACTTTCAACCCAAAGATTTGGCCACTGTAACTCAAAGATAAAACTAAACAAATATATTAACCGCACGTTTATAAGTTACTTAAATTATATCTCCTTCCCATGTAACACAAATTTTTTGTTACTTTCTATTCCTACGTTGTAGGTGCGTGGTGACAGTAGGTGGTCTCTCAATGAATTTGAGGTTCCTAGAGAATCCTTCAATTGGATTTTAAATCCCTCATGCTTATATTAAAGTTGAGGGTTTTCTTGACCTGAACCTTCCCACCGGTTTGATTTATCTATTTTAGTTCAGAATATAAAAAATCGGGAAACTTAATTTTTGGAAAACCCTTGTAGGTATATTTTTTGATCCCAACGCTATGCACATTTTTTACGCGACACTTTTGGTGTGACTTGCAAACTTCAAACCATGAAAAAAAAACGGTCTGATTAAACATTTATGCGGCTTATAAAGTCAAATTGAATACTTGTGAAAATTTGCTATAAGTGGTGATAATATATCCCTACTTTCAGTTTCCCAGCACCAAGATTTCTTTCCGTGTGGACGGTAACAGATGATTCTGAAAAAAAACTCACGAGCAAAAAGCCACGATTTCAACGACGTCGTTGTACCTCTGCCCTACTAATAAGAAACCCGGTATATCCAATGCAAATACTGCGTAATTGCGTTGTTTTTGTGAGGCACTCTCGCAAGAGTGGTAACTTTTCATGGTCAGTTTAAATAATCGAATCTCATTACGCGCAGAGCTTGCGGTTAATGTCCTTGCCCCTTTCCCGCAGAGGAGTCACTATCAATCTTCTTTTGATCTGAACATGTCATCGTCACCTACGACCCTTTTTATGAATAATAGGCCCAGGAGCGCCTCCCTTTTGAAAAATGGATCGGATCTTTGTTTCTCGCGTTTGCCCCCGTCTTTATGGAAAAACCGCCTAAATACCCCCTCAGAAATTAAGCTTCTGATCAAATTTAATCGAGACAAATATTGTGTCCTCTGTGTCCAGTAAAAACNGAGTGCACGTCTGAGATCAAACGGACGCGGCGGCATGGAGTCGTCAAGAATCCCTTTTATCGCGGCGGGGTTGTCATCGGACCGGAGGAGGCGGATGAAAGGGACCGTCCCGGGTGAGAACGGCGACAGCTGACGCCACCGGAAAGCGTGACGTCATCATAAGCCCTTTCGCGCCTTCGCCTTCGGACCGAATCGCCGAGACCCGAACGGTGCCGGGAGGATTTAATCGACGGCTCAACGCCACAGCCACCGGGGCACTGATATCCCTCTCTCCCCCCCTTTCCCTTGCCCTCTTTGCCTCCACCCCTCTGTCCCGCCCCCCTCCCCTCCGCAAGCGATGCACCGACGCACAATGGATCGAGTCAGTGGAGAATTTGCAGGTGTCCGAAATTTGATGAATTCCGTGTTTGAATGGACACAACCAAGTGAACTGAACACGAGGATACCCTTGGTTCATAAATTGAACAGTTATTGGAGGAGATATGACAAAATGATATAATCTGCTAAAATACGTGCGTTTAAATGGGATATGCCGCCAGATGACGTCTCTAAGCGACGCATTTTCTCACTTTCAAATCTAATTCATACTATTTCCCATAGCCGAAATTGTTTTTAAAAATTACTGCAAAATCAGCTCTTTAGGCACTTTCAGATGAAGTAATACAAAATTTGCAAAAATTCTCCATTAGAGAGGTCGGACATGAAATTTTTGACTGAAATTGCAAATTCCGATGTTTATTTCGTCACATTTTAAATTTCAAGGGGTGTTTTCAGAAGAAAATTCAACGCAGAAACCAATGGAGCCACTTTTAGAACTTCAAAGTTTTGTAAAAACGGAGTTATAAGCGTTTGAAGTTTCCAAATTTTGTCCGACCTCTCCTATTGACTCGATCCACTGTGTGCCCTAAAAAGCAAAAAAACGCCGCACGGTGGATCAAGTCAATTAGAGATGTCGGACATGAAATTTTTGACTAAAACTGCAAATTTTGATGTCTACTTCGTCACATTTTAAATTTCAAGGGGTGTTTACAGAAGGAAATTCAACGAGGAAACCAATGGAGCGACTTTTAGAACCTAAAAGGGTTGTATAAACGGAGTTATAAGCGTTTGAAGTTTCCAAATTTTGTCCGACTTCTCCTATCGACTCGATCCACAGTGCGGCGCGACGGTGCCCGGGGCTCCGATCCTGCTTCCCGATTCAAATTAACCAAGGTTTCGCCGGGAATCCTGGAGTGATCTCTATCTCATCAACGAGATGGGATTACGCTCGTGTGAACGGGGCTTCCGCGCGAGCGTCTGGGATTTTCGATTTAAACGACTGTGCTCAACGTGTATTGGACGTGTTTATGCGGAAGATGGGTATCTTCATACGTGGAAGGTTTTCAGGAGTGACGGTTAAGAGATCGTTCATGGACTACGTAACGCTTTGGAGAGGAAGGGGTCAGAGCTTGCGTTATGGTTGCGTTACTTAAGGAGTGGAGTACTGCGCTGGGATTTGTAACGCTGGAGTCGGGAATGCGAGAAATTTTTTTGAACATCCAGGATGGCAAATCTTCGCAATGTGGCAGTTTCTCATTTAAAATTTACCAAGAAACGCCAATTTTAGGGGAAATGGGTTGAGCAGAGCGTTGCATTTTTCTGGGGGGGGGGGAGGAGGAAAGGGAAAGGACGCCTTTGTTGCAAGTGCGGAGAAGGAGAAGAATATAAAAAACTCCAATTCTTGGCGTTAGTTATCTTAAGAACGGCCCCTAAAACATGGTGCAAGCTTGCATATGGAAAAAAAAGTATGGTAAGTGAGACTGCGGCACAGTAAATAGCTTCCTTGCGTATTTCCTCCGAGTAAGTCCATCATAAATAACACCTTTTAATTGAGGCATTCTGCTGCGATACAAATCGATTGCTTTTACTTTCATTTAAATGAGGAGAAACCTTCAGTTCTAAGCAACAATATTGACACTAGTTCTGCATACAACTATTTCGACTCCTGTGTCACTAAAGTGGTATCACGAATAATTGAAGGCGATTTCTCCGAGACGCGTTCGACCGTCTTACGAGACGACGCTGATGAAGATGCCTTAAACTAGCTGATACACAATAGCCTCTTAAGTAATATGTGCCGGTGTTGAAAAAGTTAGACTCAAAGATTTGATTTGAGCTCAGTAACACAAACAGAGCAGTCATTGCTGAATGTTTTACAAGCAATAGCTAAAATTAAAAAGTGGCATCATTCGATTAGATTAAGTGAGTACTTTCAAAGTCCATTGCATTTGTAATCAGGAAATACAATTTCTGGGCTGGATTTAGGTAAAACATACGTACCATTAGTTTCTCCATGTAGATAAGTATTTTTATAGGTAAACCAGAAATTGTAGTTCCCTATTGCAAAGTTTAGTCCAATTGGTTTTTATATTAAAAAGAAAGGCGCACAGTGTGACGTCACAAAAACAGAAATCCTCCGTGTTTTTCATTACACATTTGTCACGCTGACGGACAACTACTCTTTTCTAGAGCGTGACGTTCCCATGACGTAATTCATGATTTCTCACGGAAAGTACAGCATGTGCCCACGAGGTTCTTTCGGACTCTATTGTTGGAGGAAAACAAGTCTTAAAAATAAATTGACGTGGCAAGTTTTACTTTTTATCACCGTAACTTCAGAACTCTGTCTCTATTTTCGAGTTTTACCGCAAATTAAAGATTTTCAAAAAATGAAGATCAAACGAGGTAGTGATTGATAGGTATTCAAAGTTGGGTAGAGTTTTTTTCAGAACACATTTGATTTTTTAACCGTACCATTTGACCGCGAGTAATTGTGTGTATATTTTTAATGCGTGCTCAACACGCATTGTTTTTTTGCGTTTAAATGTTGATTTGAATGCGCCCTTCAACTTTTACTGTTTGAACTAAACATGTCCAAACGAGGATAGAGATTGGAGGGCTCACCAATTTTCTCAAAAAATACTGTAATTTGGAGGTACTTCTATGCTCACCAGGCAATAATTCTTCTAATTAAATTAGCTTATTTCATGTCTATACCTGAAAATTTCGAGTACCTACACTTCCTTTTTTCATTTCAGTATGGTGAATTTTTTTTAAAATAGCGCGCCCACCAAAACATTTCTATTGAAATTTTCTGGGAATTCTCTTCATTTTTCTGAAAAAAAAAAAAAAAAAATCACGCAAAATTGTCCGAAAATTTTTTTTACTACCTATTTTTCCACGAAAAAAAATAAAGCAGAATCGGAGAAATTTCTAAGTTTCAATAAAGATACGGCATTTATATATCGCCTTGCTACCATGACGTAACAACTAAAATAATTTCAAGAGACTAGAGAAGTATGAAAGCTCCCCTTGATTGCGCGTGTTAAACTTTTAAGATCATAAAAAGAAAAAAAGAGTGGAAAAACCCCCAATTTTCACCTGCATCTGCAGTTGTTAAAAAGTTACTCAGGCACCCCGGAGCCTTTCAACACACGTATCTCTAATATGAAGCGCGTATGCGGCAAAACTCGCGGAGATCGAAAACTCGGGGCTGAAGATAAAAAGATGAGCTTACACGGTAGTTACTGAATCTACACAAAGGGCCGACGCCTTTATACGCTGCCAAGCACGTTAACTTGGCTCCGGCGAAAAAAGCTCATGGTCTTCGGGCACTGCCCGGACTGGGACACAAAGGGAAGTTGTGGAAAGTTTGGAACTAACTTGGTTGCCGTCGTAGCTCCAAGATCCGAACTTCATGAAGCAAGTTTGCTGGTCGAACGGGAAGTAGCGGACGTCGATTTCGCACGAGGACTTGAAGATGGCCGGCGGCGTCCAGACGACCTTCCCGTCAAAGTGGAGCACTGCCTTCGTCATCGTCGTCACCACGTACTCTCCGTCGGCGCTGAGGAACAATAAGCAAAAAAGTCATTAAAGAAAAATCATTGAAGAATCATAGAAAATCATTAAAAAATCATTCAACAAATTGAACACAATGTTGGGAATATTTGGACCAAGTTTAGTGGAACGGAACCATAACCAAGTAATTTAGAAAATAAGACACCCTATTGTGGAATTTCCTTTTCTGAATTATCAAAATAAAAAAATTTCGTTTGAAAATCATCATTTAGCAAAAAAATTAACAAAAAAATGATTGAAAAATCACGAAACAAAGATCGTCTGTAATTACATTTTAATGTAAAGTAAATGGAAGAATCAAGACGGTGGATCTTCTGTCGTAGTCTAAAAGTGCGAAAACTTATTTAGCGTGGGCTCTAAAATTGACATAATAAAAAAATACAAAAATACGTCATTTGTAGAATCTGACTTCAATCTGATCTGCGTTAGAAAGGCTGGTTAATATCTCGTTCGAAAGTTAATTTTCGCACTTTCGATTGTTTAAATCGTGTTGTTCGTAAGATTTTGGAGAGAAATACATACATAAGTCGCTTTACAGCACTCCCTCGCGCTCTACGACTCCTAACCTCCACTGCTCCACTGCCCACTGCTCCACTGCTTTTGGAGAGAAATCCACTGGAAAAAAAACTCATTGGATCTAGAGTCCATGACTCTTAAAAACATCGACAAGAAAAAATACTCTTATTTTTCAATCAGATTTAAGCTTAAATCAAGAACCAAGCCTCTTAATTTGAGCGGATTTCTTTTTGATTTAAGCTTAAATCTGATTGAATCAAGAGTCCTTTTTCTTTGTCAATGTTTTCAAGAGCCTAGACTCTAGATCCAATGTGTTTTTTTTCCAGTGTCGTGTGACGTTTCCATCTAGTTAGACCTTGTGTGGTTGCCCTTTGTTGATCGGAAGGAGGATTCAAACCTGCTTGGATCCCCGCACTGTCGGCGAGAAAATAATCATTATAAGAGTACGGAAAGTCGAGGATTAGCGGGGAGGGACCAGCTCAAGCGTTCATTATGGAAGTGCACGCCGCCATTTTGCCGATATTTACGAGCGATTTCCGAGGCGCTTAGACTCGGTACATGCTCAGAAGCCAGATGAGAGGAGACGGGATAGAGCTCCGTCGACTTGATCCTTTGTCGAACGGAAAGGTAAGAAAAAATTCCCCCGACTTTTATGGGCTCTTGCGGTCATTTCGCGCGTATTTCGGGGGCTCCCGCGGCCACGCCAGACGTCTGAATGGCTGCATCGCCGAGTTGTAAAAGTTAAATTACGTTCGTCGGAGATTTGCGGCTCGTTCCGAGGGAGCAGGGTTGTCTCGTCACGAGGTTAAAAATTCCCTCTTCCGATGTTGTCCTCCGGGAAATTGGTGAGCCTGGCAAGGAGCATAACCCGGGCGCCTGCGACTGTTTCTTTTGGGGACAGAATTTGACTCGAACCAGTGATCTAATCTGATTAAGTCCTCAAACTTTTCTCATTGCTCAAGTTCCGCCGTTACCCCTTCGGCTCCCGATAACTTCACATTTTGCTCGCCAACTCCAGGAGGAAGCTTCAGGAGCCTTGATGGTCTCGGTGATCGATGTCGGAAGTTTATGAAATTGGGCCATTCTTCGTAAAAATTACGTTTAAGCTATGCACTGTTGCTCAGATTGTGCAACTTTATGCTTAATTTGAGACTGGAGGTTTCTCGGGGTCCGTTGGTCGCAAGAGATATAGCCGCGTGAATAATCTAATCAGCGGCAAAATTGTGCTGAAAACACGATGGCTACATTAAAAAAGTCTGCGATCTACTCCTTAATGTGCAATTTGCGTAGTTTGGAATTCGCTTTTTCAAATTTCCCGCGTCTGGGGACAATTTCCAGTCACCGTACCTGGGAACAGAGGAGGATCCAGCAATTTGGCTACACCGGATTCCCCCAATTTAAACCTGTGTTAAATAATTGATTCTTGTCGGAGCACCTTACCCCTCAAAGAATCGATACATTTCCATAGGCTTAAATGGAGAAAAACAATGTTGTCAAATTGCTGGATCCGCCAATGTCTGGTAACAGACAACGGCAACTTCCGGCAACTTGTGGTCAGCGAAAATTGACAATTCTAATTATATTTTTTTTATTAATATAGCCTGCAGATCGATGAAACACGCTCTAACAACTCCAGGCATGAATCACCTTAAAAGCTCATGTTCCGCTGAAAACGGAACAAATTAACAACAACAACAAATCAGTAATTCCCGGAATTTACCGGCAACCACCGAGGCCGAGCAGAAGGAAATTTAAAAAAGGCTCGTACCAAACTGCGAAAATTGCGCAAGAAAGAGTGGATTTCAGACTTTTTAATATAACCATCGTGATATATGAGCCATTTCACCCCCCCCCCTTTAGTGCTTATACACACAACTGTGGTTCTTGCGTGGAACAGACCCAAAATCTGACGTATTTTCTCTCAGGTGATTAACAAATCACCATCATCATGCGACTATTTGGATTGATACAAACTAAACAATACAGAAATGTACTTTTGAAGCAGCACTGCAAAGCTCATATGTCATTTCAGTGAGGAATATCTCAATTGCCAACAAAGTATCTAAGTTTGGTATTCAGACAGAAGGTCTACAGCAAAAATGTCCAGAGGCAGAAAGTCTAAATTTTTTTATCTACGTTTAAAAAGCCCACTATGAAAATGTCTACAAATAATAATGTCTTCTAAAAAAAGTCCATACTTAGAAAGTTCACTTCTGAATGGAATTGGTAGAGTGAACTCACATCAGTTACTTCTTTAGTTGTATCTATGGAGAAAAATTATTGTATATTCATTTTCCTTTAATAGACGCGTTATATGTAGACACTTACTATCTTGGGCATTCAAAAAACTTTTTAATTGTAGACATTGTGGCTGTGGACCAAAAAAGGTAGACATTTTTTGAGTAGACCTTTTTTCAAAGACCTACTGTCCGTGATTCCTAAGTTCAGTTGGTCTGTTCTAAAAGTCTTTCGAGAGAATTTATTCTTTGAAAAATTATCCGATCAAAGCGTTCGGTGACATCGTTGGATAAACCGAGATTTTATCAGGTCATTCGGAGTAAAATATGTACATGCCAAATGAGGGGTAGGTAATGCGCATTTTGGTGATGGTCACTCAGGTCAGGCATGAAGCTATGCAGGAGCTCTTTGTATATTCGTCACTCGTCTCTCACAGTTTTTAGGTTAAATGTTAAATGAGAGACTAATTTGGTAATTCATGACCCCATTCGCGATAAATTACGTAATCTGACTGCAGAGTTTCAACGGGCCATTTCCTGGCAATTTGGTGATCTCCGTGCAACATTTGTAAACCTATTTGCTTCTCGCAGCGTTTCGCGGGTCAAGGATCCGGGTTCATCGAGCTGGACGGTGTGGTTTAGAGCGAATCCCTCCTGCATTGCAGTGCCCCGCCCGGGCGATCGTGACGTTTGAGTTTCAGGCCCGGTTTTTCACGGTGACCGAACACTTAATCCTCATTTCCCCTAGGCTCATAAATTTTCCCCGCACGCTCCAATAGGCCCACCTGAGGCATTCCGCCCGACCGAAAAGCGCGCCAACAGGGATGCCAACTGCATTGGAGATTCATGGAGAGTATGGGCCATCAGTCAGGATGAGAAGAAAAGCACAGCGGTATAAATTGGTACAGAGCTTTCAACGAAACTCCACGAAAAATACGCTGGGCGCGTGAGGAATTATCGGTTTTTGTAATCGTCAATTCTAATTCTCCGCTACCCGAAAAACTGGAGTCAACTTTAGTCAAATCAATAGCAATTGATTGAAGTTCAGTGTGCTATGCGATCTGAAAATCTACCCGGTGATGAGAAAGGGATGAAAATAAAAAGTAACTTTCTTCGCTTTGGAGGCGCACGAAATTGGAAATCTTCGTTGCAATCCGTGCGCACAGTCGACAATTTTCGTGTTTATTGTCATTTTTAGTTAGGTACTTTGAGTTACTTGTTTCAGTCAGTTCAAGCAAAAGAGCTGATTGGTCAATTTTTTTTTAAATCGACCGAAACCGCAGGTCACCTGTGAAACATCTGCGAATGAAGAAAGTGTCCTGCTGACTTTTTTTTTTTTTTTTTTTTTTTTCTGTCACTTAAAGGTTGTGACTTGTGAGTGGCTAGCGCATTTAACTGCAATTGATGAGATCCAGGTTTGACCCTCGCCGCTCGCGTCTGATTATTAACGGGGTTGCGAACTTTCAACCCAAAGATTTGACCACTGTAACTCATAGATAAAACTAAACAAATATATTAACCGCACGTTTATAAGTTACTTTAATTATATCCTCCTTCCCATGTAACACAAAATGTTAGTTACTTTCTATTCCTACGTTGTAGGTGCGTGGTGACAGTATGTGGTCTCTCAATGAATTTGAGTTCTCTTGAGAATCCTTCAATTGGATTTTAAATCCCTTATGCTTATATTAAAGTTGAGGGTTTTCTTGACCTTAACCTGTCCACCGATTTTATTTGTCTAATTTAGTTCAGAATATGAAAAATCGGGAAACTTAATTTTTGGAAAACTCTCGTACGTATGTTTTTTTCATTCCAACGCTATGCACATTTTTTACGCGACACTTTTTGTTTGACTTGCAAACTTCAAACCATAAAAAAACGGTCTGATTAAACATTTATGTGGCTTATAAAGTCAAATTGAATACTTGTGATAATTTGCTATAAGTGGTGATAATATATCCCTATTTTCAGTTTCCCAGCACCAAGATTTCTTTCCGTGCGGACGGTCACAGATGATTCTGATAAAAAAACTCACGAGCAAAAAGCCACGAGTTCAACGACGTCGTTATACCTCTGCCCTACTAATAAAAAACCCGGTATTTCCCATGCAAATACTGCGTAATTGCGTTGTTTTTGTAAGGCACTCTCGCAAGAGTGGTAACTTTTCATGGTCAGTTTAAATAATCGAATCTCATTACGCGCAGAGCTTGCGGTTAATGTCCTTGCCCCTTTC